TTAACACTTATTTACTGGAACCGAGGGAAACAGTATGTTTTGTGGTCCCGAGACCGCTGATGTTTCCCGAAGCGAAGCTGAGGGAAACATCAGCGGTCGAGGGACCGCAAAACATACTGTTTCCCGAGGTTTCCAGTAAATAAGTGCTTTATTATCATATCAAGTGTCAAAGAGAGCAAAAACCGTAAATAAATGAAGTGTTTTTATTAAAGATTTTGATAAAATGACTGAAAAATGGCAATACAAATAGTCAAATGTCACTAAAATCAATCAATGTAATAACACAATGAATACAATAACTATTTGTAGACGAAATTAAATGTTTCAAAACAATTTTGGAATTCACCGTCCGTAAATGTGGCATTTTCACGACACTGAAGAGTGTTTTTCTGCGATTTTGTACTTATTGACGGTCCACAACATATTATTGACCGCTGGTGGACAGTTGCCGGGAAACAGTAAAATTTTGTGACTTTCACRTVGTACACTCTCGACCAATAAGATACTAGGAAAAGTGAACTTTGACACTTGATATATAATAACAGTATTTGTTTCATGGGTACATCGCTGTGAAGGCAGTCAACAGATCTCATCTCCACACCTGTACACGTTTGCCAAACCATTCCAGCACAAATACTCGACCTTCTGGTGTAACAGCAACGTCATACGGACCATTCATTTGACCAAGACCTGCACCTTTACTACCAAAGGAATTTATGAACTGACCGTCTTGACTAAAGACTTGTACGCGGTGATTATATCGATCACAGACAAGAAGCATTGCTTTACCAAACACGGCAAGTCCACGTACAGCGTTAAACTGACCTTTTTTAGTGCCTTTCATTCCAATTGTGTACAGTAGACTACCATTCTCGTCAAAAACATAAACATTGTTCACACTGATAAACGCTACAAAGTACTTATTGTTGTCATAAGCTAATGAGACAGGCATCCCATGAACATCATCAGGAACATCCAGTTTGATGTCACGAAGGTGATCATAACTTTGTATGTCAAACAACTTAATAAATGTCTCTTTTCTATTCATATTGTGACACAAACACGCGATAGTTTGATTGACTGTACACATTCCTTGCAACATCATTCCTTCAGGTAGTTTGAAAAGAGTTCTTTTGTAGGTACCATCGATGTCAAATACCTTGATACAGCCACAATCACATGTATTATCGGTGATCACTATTTTATCCTCATTGAAGATTACTCCAAGTGGAAAACTTAGCTGACCATCTCCTGATCCTGCACCACCAATGTCTCGCAAATACTCTCCATCAGCATTGAACAACACAACACGGAAATCCTTTCTAAAATCATTATTAACCACAGCAATATCGCCGCTGTCACTTACATCAAGTGCAAAAGGATTGGAAATCTTCTCTTTGACATCAATTATCGATAAGGGTTCAAATTGTGCTTTAGCATCAATTGTCTCAATGTTCTGTGGTGAGTTTTTGATTTCCTTTCCTCCAATACTCACCACAACTTTGTACGGTGAACGTTTCTCTGCTTTATGTTTTACTAGAAATTTCCCAGTTTCAGTTTCTGTCAGTTCTTTCTGCACATTGTTGCCGTCGACATCTTGGATTTGAACATCAATCATTCCTTTACTGGTGTGGCATGCATTTCCTTGTGAAGTTTTTGTCAAAATATGAACTTCATTGATAAAACCACATCTGATCTTCGTTAGAGAGTGCATACAACAACGTGACGGATCTGTCACGCTTTCTGCTACATCGCCGAGTTTGACTTTTCGCATTAGGGAAACAACTTCCGGGTTTGGAATGAAGCGAATGCTTGAGTTTCGCTTGACTGGTTTGGTCGATAAGATGGACTTGTTCTGCGCTGCATTTTTACAAACGTCTAGTAAATTTTCGTAACTTTCTAATATCAATTTTTCTAAGTTTTTTTCTTCCGTTGTTTCACACTGATGTTTCAATTCAGTGACTTGTTGAATGTTGGCGTTGATTTCTTTTTTCTCGTCTTCATTTGCTGTTGTTTGTTCTGCAAGCAGGCCGTCTAAGGTAGCAATCAAAGCGTTTTGGCGGTCTTGTAGAATCTTCATTAGAGCTTGTGTGTCATTTTGTACTTTTGACTTTGCTGCATCAACCTCGCTTTGAATCCTTGTCATATTTTCATTGGACAGTTCAAATTCTTTCTTGTAACCGATAAGCAGCTCATTCAGTCGATTCTTTTCTTTTCTAATAAGCTTTTTAGCATCTTCAGCTGCCTCCTCGATGCTGACCTTGTCATGGTTGCCGTGCGCTGTTGCAGAACATTTGTGACAAATACACTTCTTGCACGTTATGCAGTAGTAATCGAGACGGCATTTCTGGTGAAATTTCTCCTTACAAATGGCTTGATTGTTGATGTAGCTGTTGACATTTTGTGTCTTGAGTTCGCTCCAAAGCGTTGCTTGATGGGTTTTTATTAATGGCTTTACTGTTTTGTGTTGGTTGATGCATTCATTACNTTTAAGTAGGTTCTTTTMTTTAAACATTGCATTCAAAATTGTAGAATTAGCCAGACACGAATTTACTCTCCACTTCCAGTGTATGGCGTTTCTCTATCTGTATCTGTTGATTGCATGACTTATTAGGTCATATTTATTCAAATCTCAGTGAATTTTGCACATTTTGAATAAACTAGACGGTCTTAGAGCTTTTTAAAATTGAAAAAAAAGCAGTATATTACTCCTGGCTCGATATTTGTAGGTTTTGACGTCGTTGCGCCAAGCCGTCAGAAAAAGAATATCCCGGCCCGTGAATATACAATTAGAATTTTGAAAGCACTTAAAATAATAAATTAGTTATTTCTAATTGAAAGTGAGTGCTGCGAGTAGCTATTTCATTTACACAACGTATAACAGATGTCACATCAGGTCACATCAGCGTCGCCGTGGTGTGATGCAACTTGTCACGTAACACAAAATTCTTCAGGCAGTATACGTATTTTTTTGGAAGCTACATATTTCGCGAATTCCAATCTGCAATTGCGAAGCTATGAACACATAAAAGAAAACTGTCTTCCTCTCGAAACGTCATTAAAACGTCCATGACCTTGATGAATACTTCCACGAATAAATAAACGTGACCTTGACATCTAAAAAGTATTTAAAAAAATAACGCAATAGCCGATTTGCGAATTTCGTCTCAGCAGTTTAACACAAAAGAATCAAGACGAGCCACCGTGTGTATTGAGCTCACGCAATTGTGAAAAACTATTGTCTTTTCACGGATAACTGAGCTTTAGTATAAACATACTAATGGTCTATCACTCATACTGCGCTGTGATTGGCTACTCTACTAATGGTCTATCACTCATACTGCGCTGTGATTGGCTACTCTACTAATGGTCTAATTTGTGATAGACCACTCGCGGAAAAATCAAACTAAATAAATTATAAATTATAAATTATTTTAAGGATATTTCAATTTGTTTTCATTATTTGACCGATTARTATGTTTATACTAAAACAATTAGACCTCTCGGCCTCGTGGACTACGAGCTAATAGCCCATTCGGCCTCGCGGACTCGGCCTCGTGGGCTATTAGCTCGTAGTCCACTCGACATCGAGGTCTAATTGTTAATTATGCACGGCGACTCGTCTTAATTACTTTGTGTGTGACGACTGAGGCAAAACTCGCAAGTCGGCTATTCTGAACATAATTATATAGCCACATATTAATCCCAAATAGGTAAAAGCTGGATTTTTCGTTAATTTTGGAATCCTGTCCAATTAAGAAATTAATTGGACAGGTTTTCAATTGGGTTTTTGTTAAAAGCTGTGGTTGGCTTTTACCTATTTGGGCCACGGCCTCGT